CCGCCCGGAGCGCGGCCCCACCCCGGCCCTCCAGACCCACCCTCCTCCACGGGTTCCGCCCGCACCCCGGTCGGGCCGGTGTGGGACGCCTCCCTTCGCTGTCCCGCGGCGCCCGCGTTTTCCCGAGCCGGCTTTGGCAGGGCCGGCGTAAATCCGAGCCTGTGCCCGGTGGTGGGCATGCTGCTCCTCACTTTCCAGCGGTCGCCATGGCGCCACGTGGTCGCCGCTGACAAAGGAAACTTCTTGATGTCCCTGGCGAGACTGGGCCCCGGGCCTCGAGGCAGCCAAAGGGCCACCTGGGAGGCGCAGCCCTAAGGAAAGTGAAGTAGGCCCTGCTAACGGCTTGGAGAGTAAAGGAAGCGCAGGAGGCCAGACCTTTTCCCTCTCTGAGCTGAACTGTGCCAGACTCTTGGACCAGTGCCCCACACGTGAACCACAGGGGCTTTCCCCACACTGGTTTAGCCCTTGCCTTCTCTGACTCTTGTCATTCCAAAGCAAGCTCCCAGTTGTTCATTAATGAATTTCAAAAGTGCATCTTAAAACATTACCAATGTTATGAAACAGGGATTAAAGGGGGAAAATAAGTGGATCAGTGTACTGAGGGTATAGAGCATCAGTTTAAATGGAGAATAACACCACCCAAAAAAAAGAAAATCCCAGACGTAAATGGCAAGTCTGTTTCTGCGATCTCAGAAATCACAAGATCCCGTGCAGCTCACTGTTTGCAAACAAGAGGGAGGAAAAGTTTTCATACAGAGAAGCAACATCCCCACAGGGGACTGGCTTGTCATTCTGTAATATCTTCCTTGCAGACCAAAAATTTTAAATTACACAACACCACTCCACCCACCCACCAAGTCTGCCTGACCTGGCTGATTTTAGCAAGACTTAAAAGTCTCAGGTGAGAAATGAGTGTCCTTAAAAGAACTCCATGTCAGCCCATGCCTAGGGACTTTGCCTCTGAAGTAGCACTTGGAAAATTCCAAACATGAGGGACTGTGTTTGTAGCTCAGAGGTAGAGTGTTTGCCTAGCAGGTGTAAGGCACTGGGTTCAATCCTCAGCACTGCAAATAAATAAATAATAAAGTAAAATAAAGGTATTGTGTCCATCTACAATTAAAAAAAAAATCCAAACGTGAGTGCAAAGTTCTGTTCCAAACATGAGACACCTCATCTTCTCACCAGAATCCTAAGAATATTTTTGGAATGTCACAAAGGTAGCAGGATGGCAATAAAAGATATTTTTTTATCAAGAATATTTCCAGTTGGGGCTGGGAATGTGGCTCTGGCGGTAGCGCGCTTGTCTGGCATGCATTCAGCACGTACTAACAAAGATGTTGTGTCCGCCGAGAACTAAAAAAAATAAATATTAAAAATTCTCTCTCTCTCTCTCACTCTCTTTAAAAAAAAATAATAATAAAATAAAGAATATTACCAGCGTAATATGTAGAAGCAATGGTAAAAGCAAGCGCCCCAGGTGACAGTCGAATGGCCTGTATGTATAGGCTTATTTACAAAGCAATAAGCCTGCAAGCCTACTTTGTGGTATTATTATTCTTATTTGAGTTGAAGCTACATAGGCAGAGTTGACTGACAGGATCTGCTGATTTATCCCTCTAATCCCTGTTTACTAAGGCAAGGGGTGCTTAAAAACGTACTCATGAAATTTAATTAACATCTGGCCCCTGCTCTGAGAGTCACATTAGAGGGCGATTGGACCTTAGAGATTTATGTCCTTGGGTCCATTCACTTGAAATACCATCAGCATACCAAGAGGACATGAAGACTTGCCGAGCTGATGGAGAAGTGATGGTCTTCGTGCCAGGAGGTGAGGAGGAACAGCTCCTGCCCTCCAGTGAGAGAAAGCTACTACCAGTGCCTCGGCCAGCCCTCAATGGTCAGTTTTGAGATGAGTAATTATGTACACGTGCCATGGCAGCCACTCGGGAGGCTGAGGCAGGAGGATCTTAAGTTTGAGGTCAGTCTGGGCAACTTAGCAAGACCCTGTCTCAAAAAAAAAAGGACTGGGGATATAGCTCAGTGGTAGAGCACCTCTAGATTCAATCTCTAGTACCATGAAAGAAAGGGGGGGGGATAGAGAGAGAGAGGTAGCCCAGCCCCCAGATACGACGGTGTAACCCAGCCATATGCTCTTCCCTTAGCTGTCCATCGCCCCTCCCACACTCCAGATCCTGCCACTGGGGCCACTAGGGGCTGATGGCCTCCCACCTGGTGCTTCCTTACATTCCCACTTCCCTCCAGTCTCCTCCTCCACACACCTGGCTCGGGGTCTTCCTCTTGCCATCACTTGAGGCCTCAGCCGTCTTTGGCTCGGCTGGCCCTCACCTGTCCCTCATCTCATCTAGACTTCAGTTCACCCAAGGGCAGGCCCTGCCTTTGTGTGGCTCTCCTGAGCCCATGTGGCTGGGCTCTCCAAGTCCTGTCCACCTGTTCCTGCTCATTGGTGTGACCAGGAATGTCCTTCCTTAGCCCAGGAAGGCTGAGAGAGGCAGTGGGCCCTCTGGGGCTGCCTGGGACTTAGCTGAAGGCCCCTTTGTAGGCAAAGGAGCTGGCCAGCCCTGGACACTGGAGTTCTGGAAGGGCCAGGAGGTTGCTCCCTGGGACAGACCAAAGCTGCTTTCTCTCCTTCTGCCTGGGCTCCTCCCTGCACCCTCAGAGGCTCTGAGGCTGTGTGGATGAAGAGCCTTGCTGTCCCTCTGTCATATGGGCCTGTCAGGGCTTGGCCTTCTTCTTCTCTCCCAAGCCTGGACTGTTCTTTTCCTTGGCACCACTTGCATCCCGCAGTCTCTGCCCTCCCTCTGCCCCGCTGAGCCAAGGTCACCTCAGCACCCTGAGGTGAGACTCCACCCTGAGCACCTTCCTTCGGGACAGTGGGCTGTGGCCGTCTGTCCCCACAGGAAGTTCTTCCCTCAGGCTTTCTCACTGATCTGAGTTGTTTCTGCTTCCCCCTCCATTCCTTCTCTATTTCCTTGCTCTCCCCAATACTCAATGCCCAGCCTTCCTTTCTACAACTCCTGGGCCTCTGGACCACTTGCAGCCTTCCCTCTCCAGGGCTCCAGAGAGGACACACCCTGCCATGGCCACGAGCCACACTGAGCATGGAGGTCTAGAGAGCAGAGTGCCACTCCAAAAACTAAATTCTCTGCCTCATAAAGGAGTGCTTGGGGTTCACTTGTAGCTCAAGGATTTCTGAGAGCAGGAGGCTGTGTGGGACGGGTGGAAGGCTGGTCACAGGAGAAGGCCATGCTCCAATAGTGATGGTGCCCTGGGGCCCACCGTGTATGCGTGAAGCCCTTGCTACTTTCCTCTGCACTCAGGAACTGGACTGCAGGCCCTGTTGGTCACCTCATCTGTGCAGCCCAGCAAGGGGAGGGCTAGAGGACAGTATAGTGGGTCTCATGCACCCAAGGGAGCAAACTCTCATGATACACATTACACCCTCTTATTTTGAAAACTGCACCCGCAGAATTTCCTGAGGGCCAGACTTGAACTTAGACGTTTCAGAATCCTGGGTTCCACCTGACCTGGGGTGCAGAGATAGGCCCCCAACCCCTCCCTGGCACAGATGTCATACAGCAGCACTTGGAAATGGGTTACATGCAGGAAAATGATGGCGGGGTTTATGCTCAGATCACTGGGAGCGTGGTGGAGTGAAGAGTGGAGGTTAGGGTCTACAGGGAGAGGGGTTTCTGAGGAGTATGGCAGGGCTGGAGTTTGAGGGAGGAGCACAGGGACAGAGGGGAGCTGCCAGCTGGGAACATGAGGTCCACACCAGGAGGTACACAGAGATGCTGGTGAGAACAGGCAGGGTCCATGCGAGCATGGCACACAGGAACCCTGGGCAGAGTGTGGGCCCAGTCAAGGTGGCACAGTGCAAAGCATACCCTTGCTACTGAGGCAGAATCGTTTTCGTTAAGTCTAATCAGTTCATTTCCATGCTTCAGAATCTGCCCACAGAAGGTGAGATCCACATTCCCAGGTCTGACCACAAGACACTCTTGCAGCAGGCTCCCTGGAGGCCCAGCTCCCTCCCAGGGCCCTCCCTTTCCTGTGAGATCCTGGGACCCCTCACTACATCCACTGTTAGGTTTGTTATTCCTAAACTGCATACATTCTGCACTGAATACACGCAGTCGGCTTTTAAAGATGTTTTCTGCAACACCTCTAGGATTTTTTTTAAAGAGAGAGAGAGAGAGAGAGAGAGAGAGAGAGAGAGAGAGAGAGAGAGAGAGAGAGAGAGAGAATTTTTTTAGTTTTCGGTGGACACAGCATCTTTGTTTGTATGTGGTGCTGAGGATCGAACCCGGGCCGCACGCATGCCAGGAGAGCGCGCTACCACTTGAGCCACATCCCTAGCCCCCTTCCCGAGGTCTTGGCTTTGCAAGTACCATCAACTAGAAAACAACAAAACCTAAAGAAAAAACACTAAAATGCGTCCTCCAAAGTACTAAAAAGACTACTAACTCTTTTTAGGAAATTGTAGTGCATTTATTTGTATATACCAACATTAGAAATGATTTCTGATTCAGAATATAAATTAGGAGATTTTTTTACATTCCTGACTCAGTTAACTTTTTTTTTCCCCCTAGTGCTGGGGCTCAAACCCAGGACCTCTTGTTTGCTAGGCAAGCACTCTACCCCTGAGCCACATTCCCAGACCCTTGTTACTTAAATTTTTAAAA